CAGCGGGACAGCTTGCCAGACAGCAATATCAATGCAGCAGTCTTAGCTGGTTAGACTCCAGCAGTACCCCAATGTACACTCTGGGGTCCCCAAACCTTGGCTCTTGCCAACCTGCGCTTATTAATTTCCAGAATTAGGTAAGCGGGATGTGTTCCTCCAGGGAGAGAGTGCGCATTCCATTCCATCTATCTCTGGGATTTCCATAGGATATGTGGAAATCTCAGCTTGGATTGGATAATCTTAAGCATGGTGATAGGTTTCCGCATGTGTCTCGCCACCCGGCTGACCAAAATTATAATTTTTTTTTAAGAAATCAGTCTTTGGGCTCTATCTCTCTATGTAGTACCCTGAGCAAACCTACAGTGTTTTGCCCACAAAATACGCAGTCAATCCACTTTACAATCTATTCTGTGAAGGTGTCTCAACAACATGATAAGCCACTATATCAAATGCAAGTATTATTATATCACAGCTGCAGCAACCAAAGACCTTGAGCTTCTCACAGAAGTTCTCGAAAGCTGTGAAACAAGCCATTTGTGGATGAACCAATACGTTTCTTGAACAGAGCTCTCACACTCACTCCACCACTCTCCGATAAGTCCCTCTGGAGTCTCAAAACATTTTTCGAATTACTTATTTAAAAACCCATGCAAGTAGCAGCACGGAAGAGAGGGGTGTGTGTGGGGGAAAGGAATAAAGGTTCAGTGAATTTGTGGCCTGAAGGAAAAGCGAGAGACCTGGGTTCGATTCCTGGCAGCGTGAACCTTGGGCAACATTCCTTACTCCACGTCTAATAATAATCCCTCCAAAACAAAACAATAATTTGATCATTTTCAATCCATGACTGTTTGTGGGACACTGCTGTGCGCAATTGGCTGCGCTCACTTAGAATAGCTATAAAATGCACCCTAATGCTCCTGCGCTTTCCCATAATGTTGGCAGTAATTAAAAGAGAAAGCTGCAAAGTGCCTACCTGGAGTTGTGGAGATAACACATTTTGCTCTTCTTTGGCCTATTTAGGGGTTTTCCAATGTAAAAATGTTAAATTGCAAAAGCTGTTCTAGTGTTTGGCAAGCCCAAAACAATCCCGCTCAGGTTAAAAGTATATTGGCTATAAGAAACCTTGGGTAGAAAACATTTTCCAGGACTCAAAGGGGTGTTTATTCCAAAAGCCATCAATAGGGTCAGTTTCCAGTCAATAACATGTTCCGTAATTATCACCAGTGACAAATAAGGAACCAATCAGGTTTAGGTGCTGGTCCGATCCCGTGTTAAAAAAAAATGTCTTCTGGGTCATGTTTTTGCAGGTTTTTTGTTTAATAGTGAAAATGGGCAATGTCTAGATCAATGTCACTTACCTTAGTAAAAAGCTGGAGGTGACTTTGAGGTGATCTGATGACATTAAACTTGACCATTTTACTGCAAAAAGCCAGCCAATAAGCGAGCCGGCTGCTCACATGCGCAATGAACAGGGTCCATAATGCAACAACAGCATTTGCAATAGGATGAAGCCGAATATAACAGGGCTGAACTGTACAACTTGGATGCAAAATTAAGGATTAAAAATGTGAGCGAAATGGATAAACTCGAGGGGGACCTCATGAACAAAGGGACTGAGGGTCCAGCAAACACATCACTCAAAAAAACTTTCCAGATGTAGTCAGCTATAAACCAAACTTATGATTCATAGAAAGAGGTCCAGAATACAAAAAAAGAATTACTGTCACAGTTACGCAAGGCACTGGTGAGTCCACACTTGGGAGTATGCGGGGGGAGGAAGAGATGATGACTAAACTATTATTTAGCAATATTGGTATCAACAAAGCCAAAGAGAGGTCTTCACTGAAGAGGAGCACGCTCGATGCTCTTGTAAACGTGGCACTCTATTGGCAATCGTTACATAATCTTGAAATTAGGGCAAAGCCTGGTTCGATGTCAGACCCCAAAAAAGACAGTTAGAAGTGCTTTCATAAAGTGTTGTGGAGGAACAAATGTGTAATATACCGAAGACTATATAGGCAGAAACAATATTAGGATATTAAAAAAGGAAGATACTTGGGGAATAAGGATATTAATCCATTTGATATGAAAAGCATTATATCAAATACAAGGATTTTTATAATTATTATTATTAATAAAGAGAATGAAGAAAAGGCAGAAAATTGGGATTAAAAGATCTGCTGTGATCTAATAAACTGGTGGAGAAGACACAATGTGGTAAACAGCTTCTTCCTTGTTCCCAGCTTTACAAGATGCAGTTAGAAACTCTTGCTGTAAACTATGTAGTAATCTGCTGATGGGCCAGGCCCTGTTCATAGTGTTACTATGGCAATGCTTTCTGACAAATTCTAGTGGTTAACTTTTTGGATACTTGGCTACAATACCTTTTACATCGTATTCAAAAACCATTATTTTTGGAATCGTGCAATGGGAACTTCATAGTTCATCTGCACAGGCAAACTGAAATCTCGGTTTAATATCTTTAGCTGAAGGATGGCATCTCCAACGATGCATCACGCCCCCAGCACTGCATTGGAGTGTCAGCCTGGACTGTGAGTTCACAGTCCAAAGTCCTGATGTGAAGAACCTTCTGACTCAGAGGTGAGAGTGCTACCGACTGAGCCAGGCAGGCAAATTCTAGTGGTGAACTTCTTGGGTACTTAGCTACAATACCTTTTTGCATCACAATATCACCCAAAAACCAATAACCACATTCTCAGTCTTTGTGGAAAGTGTTTCACACAACAGCACTGTATTAGGAACCTGGTTTGTTGGTGTGGTGCAGAAAAAGTCCATGATTTAATACATTACTGGGGAAAATATCTCACCAACATTACAACTTTAGCTTCTCCAGGTCAAGAACATCAATCTAGGATTTTGTGGGCGGCATCATTAAAAAAAAGCGCAAATTCATTTTTAAAACGTCGCCAAACTTCTATTGTAGAACCCCTCAATCACTATACAAATCTGTACAGCAAATGCTATATGTGATATGTGTTACAATGCTGATTTTTTTTTAAACTTGCCTATGGGCAATTTGAGCACGAGTTCTTACCTCGTCTCTGATAGCCACATGCATTTGAACAATATTTACCTTAACATCTGGGGCACTTCATTCCTCGCTATACCTGAGGGTGCAGACACCCAAATTACAGTGTTCCCATTGCCATGCTAAAAGCACTTTAGAATTAAACGCAGACATCAGGAAAGAAACGAGAAATAAGAACATCCACAAGCTTTTAAACATGCTCCTAAGAGCTCCACAGACAAAGTTCATTTCTCACAATTGTCTGCACTCCAAACTGCGTGCAATAGGAAATTAAAAAAACAAGCCTCCCACTCCCTCCCCCATTCCAGGCACATGCTCAAATTTGCAGTGTTTCAACTCAAACGAAACACTTATCTTATTTGCACTTGTAATTCACAATATCTTTTTCAGGCATCTCATTTGAAGCAGCTCATTTGAAGCAGCTTGCCTACTCTCTCTCTACTGTCACACCGCATTGGCTTTCCAGTGGCAGGTTTCAATCAGCCAACTGGAAGGAACTGTCCGACCATGCAGATAATGGGGTGAAACGCCATCTATCAAACGCTCAGTGCTCTCTCAACAGGAGGTTCGAATGACTGATGTTGATTAACCCCACACCACAGTGTATATGCACCGTGACATCCTAGGAGCAGTTCTTCATTTCCTCCCCCACTCCCTTCCCAAACTCCATTCCCCACCTCCACCCGCCACTGAGAATCAGATGCCTTTTTGTTCTCTTCGCTTTTTTCATTTCCGACGTTGCTGTTTTGTGCAATGTTAAACCAAGAAGGCAAACCGCAGCCTGACTTCTGTTCAGTACTGGACAGCAACTCTCATCATACACAGACCCAAACTGGAAAAGCTCGATCTGTTCCTGCCCATCATTTGTTTTAAATCATTCCCAATAGTTTTTGCTGCCCTGTAACAACCGTCATTGTCTTCAGAGTATAAATTTCCCAGAAACATGGAGAAAGGGCAGAAAACAAAATATACAGTATGTGGAGAGACTAGAGAAGATGGAATTGTTCTCCTTAGAGCAGAGAAGGTTAAGGGGAGATTTAACAGAGGTGTTTTGATAGGGTAGATAGGGAGAAACTGTTTCCACTGGCAGGTGGGTTGGTAACCAGGGGACATAGATTTAAGATAATTGGCAAAAGAACCAGAGGGGAGATAAGGAGAATTTTTTTTAATTTTTAATTTTTTTTACACAGAGAGTTGTTTTGGTCTGGAATATGTTGCTTGAAAGGGTGGTGGAAGCAGATTCGATAGTAGTTTTCAAAAAAGAATTGGATAGGTACTTGAAAAGGAAAACATGGGGAAACAGCAGGGGGAGTGGGACTGATTGGGTAGCTCTTCCACAGGCACGATGGGCCGAATGGCCTCCTCAATGCAGTAATATTCTATGATTCTATCTGCACGTGTTACCCACTAGCAGGTAAAATAATTCAGCTTTCTTCCATCTCCAGTTTCAACACCTTGAAAGGCTGATTAAGATGTGTAGCTGCACATCCTATTCAGCCTTTCAAGCAGATAGCAACTAACTGCACAGTGTCGGTGTGGGTGTGTCAATGGGGATACCCACTGGGCCATGTTAACAGCTCATCCCAGCGAGCAGAAAGAAGCTAGGCACTTCCACACGATGAATGAATGCAAACCTGGAGAATCATCCTTCCAGATTGTGTTTGTGCAGCAACTGGGGGCAGGTCTCCAGCCTGCATAAGGATAAATTGCAACAGAAGGCGATCGACAGAAACAGGAAGGGAAAGAAATCTCACTCGCAACACCGCCCCCGACACCAACACTACAACCACTACAACTGGAGAAAATCAGAGGACGTGGATTTATTTCCGTAAACAAGATTTGCTATCACAGGAGGGGGGCAGATGACGGGAAGTCTCCCCCATTGAGGCGGCTACAGCAGGTGACAGCTGATAATGGTCTGAACATTTGGAGAACATTAAGGAGTACTTACGGAGTTCTCCCACTCGGAGGATCTCACACAGCATTCTCGTGAGCTCGATGCTGCTGCGGCCGAATGGGCACTCGTGCTTGTCCTCGCGGCTGCTGTTTTCCAGAACAATCTAGAAGGGATCCCAAAGGGGAGTAAGAAAAAAAAATCAATTATGGTAAAACCAAACCGCATTAAGTCAGTAAAGCAGTGTTAGTTAGTCAGCAGGGAAGCTCTTTGTGTGGTTCAACTGGTTTTATTAGTTGCAAAGTGGAGGATATGGCCCATGCACAAAGGAGGATATGCCTCAATGAAATATAGGAACAGGAAGAGGCCGTTCAGCCCCTCGAGCCTGCTCCACCATTCTATTAGATCATGGATGATCTGTACCTCAACTCCATTTACTCGCCTTTTTTCCACACTGATATACTTACCTAACAAATATCTATCCACCTCAGACTTGAAAACACTCATCCTGTGTGCACATGGCATGTGTGCACAAGATGAGGAAATGGCCCATGCATACAGGAGGAGATTGTGGCACATACACAGGTTAGCGCCGAAATAGTTAATGTACAAGCAGTTTGCAAGAATCTGACACTAACTCACTGAACACAGTGACAAGATGGAAACATCTTCTACAAGCTCACGCTTGGTTTCATTATCCGACTTAATCTGTGTGGTCATGGAATGAGTTTTCAAACTCCGTTCTTCTCCCCCTTGGGAAGCACCTACACTCACAGCTGGTGCTTTCTTGCAATCCCTGTTGAACCGAGCAGCATCTTTCTCCCCATTGAACAAGATGCTCATGTAATCCTGGACATGTTCTGTCAGCTCCCGAGCATCGCTCAACAAGGCAATCAACGCAATGTACCACATACTTCCCCTTTCATCAAGAACAGCAAATGCATTTTAAAGCCTTCCTACAACACCAATTCCGTTTCAGATCAATCTGTGTCACCTTTGTGAATCGCGTGCACCAAAATAAAACTATCACAAAACTATTGCCGGATTTGTGCTCTTGTGAAGGTTTTGATTAGTACAACCTATGCACATTACAGAACTCATTACTTGCAATGAAAAAAATTCACAATTGAAAATAAGAGGTTCAGAATTTCCCCCAATGATTGTGTGAGTAATAATAATAATAATAATAATAATCCTTGCATTTGATATAGCGCTTTTCACGTCGGAAGGACGTCCCAAAGCGCTTCACAGAACACACTGTAAAGTGAATTGACTGTAAATTTGTGGGCGAACGCGGCAGCCAATTGCGCACAGCAATGTCCCACAAACAGTCAACAACAACAACAAGATTTCATTTATAGAGCGCCTTTCATGTCGGGAGGACGTCCCAAGGCGCTGGACAGTTGGGTCATTTTTTTTGACAGTCTGACACATGCGGAAACCCGTCACTATGCTTAAGAGTATCCAAACCAAGCTGAGAGTTTCATGCATTCCCACCTACACATGGAAATTCCAGAGATATTTATTGGAATGGAATGCTATCAAAACTCTCTCCCTGGAGGAACGTATCCTGCTTAGCTAATTCAGTAAAGTATTAGGCGCAGATTGGCAAGAGCCAAGGCTTGGGGTACTGCTGGAGTCTAACCAGCTAAAACTGTATAGCTTGCTATTGATATTGCTGTCTGGCAAGTTTTCCCGCTGCTTGTCCAACTCGGACCATTCCACCTGGTTGGGCTTTGGCTTCCAGGGTTAACGGGAGCTGAGTGGGATGACTCCCTGTCCCAGTGACTGGTCTGCTCTTCCAGATCCTGCCAATGAGCCAGGCTGTTCGCGCTGTCATCAGCAGTGCCCTAGAGTACTGCAGACCCACCTGGCTCAGGAATCAGACTACTGACACCGCCACAGAGGGCTGGCTCGATTTCAAGATTTCCATTGCCAAGTATGTCTCCTTGGAGCCAGTTCAGATCCAAGGAGATCCCGATTACTGTTTGACAACAAATTACATTTGTGTAGAGCCTTTCACTTCAGGAGGACGTCTCAAAGCGCTGGACAGTCAAGACCTTGCTGTGATCAGGAAGGGTGGAGGGAAGGAAGGGGTGCAGGAGGAGGGTGATCGAAGACGCTGTCGAAGAGGAAGGTCTTGAGATGGGCTTTGAAATAAGCAATGATAAGACACTGCAGGATGGTGTTCTAAATGGTGGGGGAAGAAAGGCTGAAGGCCCGACTGCCATGGTGGGGCGGGCCGGGCAGGGGATGTGGAGCAGGCCAGAGTCCGCCGAGTGGAGAGCACAAACAGGCCGGTATGGGGTTAGCAGGTCAGAGGTCGGGAGAAGCAAAATGCTGGTGTTGAGTCAGAGCAACAGTGATGTCAAAGCAATTGGGCTTGTGTCCCTCAGCCAGAGATTAGCGAGAAGGATGAGGAGGAGCGTGGGTGGAAAGCAGCCAGAGGGTCGCTGATTTTGAATGCTATCCAGGGCATGTGTGTGGAGGCCACTTGTTTACAAAAGATCAGGCAATTGACTACGATGTACTTTGTAAGAAAATAGGCTGCTGATGCTCGCTCAGTGGGACAGCTCGCGGGCTGGCATGTAAAGAATGACCAAAAAATTATTAGTGCCAGAGAGGAGAGAAATAGAAGGCAGAGAATTGTGAAATGGAAATAAAAAGTGGGCATACGCAGTGCATCATAATTCTAATGTACTACGTCTGAGGCATAGGAGTCAGAATTCTGTTGTATTCTGAGCTTTCCTCTTAACAGAGCCATCCCAGACAATCCCTCCAGTGGGTTTAACACTCTATATTGGACTTTATTCGACTTGCACCAAAGTCAGAACCTCTGGAACCAATGAAGATCATCTACTGGTCAGAATCTTCGGAGCAGTGGGAGACAGCGCCATGTCTGCAATTCCCACACTGAACTCTCCCGCCTTTGCACTGCTTTACCGCAAACTCGTCTGCAATTCCATAATCCCAGTCATGGCAAAAGGGAACACAAGAGATCCTTGCTCAGGAATTGGACTGTCAACTTACTGGGCAAAACTGAATAGATGTTTGGAAAGCTATTCTTAAATATAAGAACGTAAGAAATAGCAGCAGGAGTAGGCCATTCGGCCCCTGGAGCCTGCCTCGCCATTTAATAAGATCAGGGCTGATCTTCTAACCTAATTCCGTTTACCCACCCTATCCCCATATCCCATAATCCCTTTAGATTTTAAAAATCTATCGATCTCAGTCTTGAATATGTTCAATAACTGAGCAACCACAGCCTTCTGGGGAAAAAAATTACATACATTCACTCCTTTTGAGTGAAGAAATGTTTTCTCAACTCAACAACAAAAGAGTTCTAAAGGGCTGACCTTTAATCCAAACCTTTATTCGACTTGCACCAAAGTCAGAACCTCTGGAACCAATGAAGATCATTTATTGATCAGAATCTTCAGAGCAGCAGGAGACAGCGCCATGTCTGCAATTCCCACACTTAAACCTTCTACTGTAACAGTGTGAGATTGGGCCAGTTCAAAGCCCAAAATCCAGCAGATCTCACCCCACACCAGCGGTCAATATCATCATCCTTACCCTTCTCCAAGACCCACCTCCACATCTACTGGGTGTTACTGACAGAGCAAGTCTCCCATAACTAAAGCTGTACCATACTCTCCCAGGAGCAGGAAGATGAACTTCCCAGGTATCATCCAGCCTTGACACAGTTGCCCCTCAACAAACATCACATGTAGACAAGGCATCTGCCAATCTGACTTGTGCCTGGTTGGTGTAGCCCCACAATATAGTGCACCTTCCTCGAGGTCACTATACCCCCCACCACAGCTCCTTGCAGAATGAGATTCAAACTTCTGCACACTTCCACTGTCAGAAGTCATCCCTACCCAATTCTGCTATTCCTCCCTCCTCCCCGTTCCCCCCAACCCACCCCCCCCCCCAGCCTCCATCAATAAGCAGCACCAGCCCTGCTAATTCTCAAAAAGGAGTGTTGCCAAAATATACATAACTTCACCCATGTGCCCGCAAGGACCACATAACTTTCGCTTGCCCACGAATTAAGAAAGCAGCTTTAGCCGAATGCGATCAGAAACAGAATTAAAAAAGGTCCTACATTGTCTTAAAGGGTTACACAGCTTTCATGTTCTGAAATGTTATGTAGCTGTAAACAACAGTAGACCAAAACACAGTACAACTCCAGCGCATCTCAATGTTACAGTTCAGCAAACATCATATTTCATCAATTAGGTTAAGCCAGACACACATTCTCTATATATTCTGAAAATGAATTATGTTTATGCTGTTAGCTTTATCTTTTGTTCAGATTGTGAGAAGGTGAAGATGTAGTAAAGAAGGAAAAACAAATCCGCTGACATTGGGGTCTTCCTTTATCTTGGCTTAAAATATCAAGTTACACTTTTTCTCTCTTTCAATATTCCGCTAACCACCCCCCCCCCACTTCAAGGAAAGCACCTATAGCTGTCAGTGGAAGATAACATGTGTGCAAGCTGCATGGCTGCCTTCTACAAGGTCACACAATGCGACAAGCCCTCACGTTGATTGATGCTCTTAAGCTACAACAATTTTTCAATTTGAAAACCAAATTCCAACCCCCTTCTTTCCCTTGCACCTAAATGTTCCTGTACACAACAATGGAATGGATTCCATCCCAGGCGTTGCAATTTATGCTGTAATCAACCACGGCACATCAGTTTTACGACACGCTGTAGCAAAGGGCACCAGAATGCTCAATATATATTCAAATTAGTCAAGAGTTGCATTGCAAAGCGGGCAGCACAAACCCCTGCAGTCGAATCATAGCTGAAATATTTTTATTTTTAAACAATGAATCTATCAAGATGTTTCCTTATTAACTCATTCATCTCAGCAGTTGTCACTTTTCTCGACCCTGTGGCGGTTGGTAAATCCTTAATACTACTCGACCTGGATACCTAATACTGAGAAGCAATTCTGGAGGGATTTGCCTCCAAAGTCCACCTTGTGTTGCTCAAGGATTCATTGATACATCAGCTACTAGGTATAACTTGATACGTCAATATCAGCTATAGGATTTAAGCTTTAAAAGTCAACAGTCAGTGCCATAACAAAAGACCCATTAAGGACTGTAATGTCTCAAGTCTGATGTGAGAGCCTGTCATCATAGAATTT